AAAGTAGATCAATCTGCAAACATTTAAATAAAATAATACAAGATTCACAAACGTGATATGAGCCGAATCAAGTCGAAAAGCACTGTCAACAAAAAATACTATCAACCTTCGTACACTCGCTTCACACAGTCGACCAACATAGAAAAATCTCAGCAGTACTTTTTCAACTAAAAAAAAAAAAAAAAAACATAAACGCAAGCCAGAGAATTAAGAAAACATCTGGCAAATAATTAACGGAGCCTTCTTGAAAAAAACTAATAAACAAAGATGTCATTGCAGAGTTTCTTGATTTCTTTTAAAAATTGATATACAAAATCAACTTGTTCAAAAGCTGTTAGCTTTTAAAAACAACAAAATCAACTTTATTCCTTAAACATGGAAAGTTTAGGCTGAACAACACACAATTTAAGTAGTGTTTTCTCATGAACTACAACTTAGATATTGATCTTAACATTTAGAGATAAGCCTTTTTTCATACACATGTATGTACAAAATCAAGTGTCAGCAAATTCCGACAGCCATTCAACATAGAATGACCCTGTTTCTAACTTATACTTGAAAAAAGATGTGCATACAATGTCTGAGTCAGAACAAACAAAAACATGCTGAAAAAATTTCAAGTCAGCCGCTAGGATTGATTTTATTTTCTTAGTACTGTTATTTATATTAACTCAGACAAATATTCATGTATTGTTTTACCTTTATATACATAACATTCCTGTGTTTGTGTAAAGCATTCTTCACCCAAATATCTTGTTCTGTTACTATAGCCATATCCACTGGATGTATTGCAGCTTGACCAGTTGCTCCATTGTAACAAAGAACCTACAGTAATATATTAAACTTGATCATTTCAGTAAATAACTACTAACTTAGAATAGAAATAAAGTTCACGTTAAAACTAACAAACACTGATAAACAGAGTTAACACCTGTTAATACAGGTATTACCTAAAACAAATGCTCAGTAATAGAAGTAGCTTACTTAATGCATACTGATGAAGTGGCAATTACTTTTTTTTCTTTATAATACTGTTTTTATATCCTCCCGTTAAACAAAGAATTTTTGTCTCTTATTTTAAAAAAAACAATCGTATATAATTGAATATTTAAGAGATATCTCAAAAGATATCTCTTAAACATTCTATTGTATTTTGATTTTTAAAAGATATTTCTCGATTATTACAAACACACCAACATAGTCATTACACGCAAATGAAACATTTCTTTGCGATCTTTACAATGTCAAAAATAAAAAAGTAAAAGAGAAGGCAAAACTATTAAATTAAGTCAATTAAGTTGTCTCCAAACAAAAATCAATTTACAGTCTACAAAAAAAACATACAAACCTGAAATTAAATTACTAGCCTACACAGTATATGCATTCAAAAGAAGTAAATAAGAACATTACTTGATAAAACCGCTTGATTGTTGGCAACAAAAACATTTTTTATTGAGCCATTTTGAGAAACGTTCCATGGATTTGAAGCGTATAATACAACATTTTTAAAACTTCGAACTTGTGTGTTGATTTTAGATGCAACAATTGTGTCGTTTACTTTGATTTGATATGCATAACTTCCGTTTACCAAAATTTGACTGATCTCAATTTTTGACCATTCATTTAGTGAAAGTGTCAAACTGGTGTTAAACGTGAAATCAGCGCCATCAATCATAGCTGTAACTTGAAGAACTCCACGACTGTCAAGCCATACTCCTGGATAACCAGTACCATTAGAATCATTAATGAAATGAATAATACTACTTAAGTCACTACTCAATGAATACGGAATGAAATCAAATGAAATTAAAAACTCTTTATCCAGTATTGGCATTGCAGTGATATTTCTTGTTTTCTCTAAAGCAGTTGGGATGTCCTCTATTACATAGTTAATCTTCTGACACGCATCTAAAAAAGATTTATATCAGTTAATACACGCATACACATTTACATCTTTAAGGTATAAAGCTTGAACAACAGCTGCGTACCAACTAAGTCTTTTTTTTTTTTTGTTAACATTTTAATCTGGTTTCTACAGATCGTCCTAACACGTTAAGCAAAATATTACAAACAAACAAACAAAAAAAAGTAGCAAACAGTTCTTGAACCTTCAAAGAAAACATTAAAAATCAAGTACTCTCTAATCTAAAACACAACATTACCAATTATTATCATTATTTTCGAACAAGTTTGCGAGTAGACAATTGTTCGAGGCTATTATTAGGCAATTGTCACAAATGAAAGCTGTCGGCACGGTTATTTTTAGCCACTCGTCAAAGGCTTCTATCAACTTGTAAACTAATACCTGTACTAATAAACACGATTCAAACAACGTTTACCTATTGCGATCATCATTTTTCTAGATTCTTTAAGAGATATTGGTCATTAAGTAGCAAAACAGTTTGTTTACTTCCTAATATTAATATATTAAGTTCTTTGAAAAAACGACCAAACATTATGAGACAGAAAAATGTGAACATAGTAAAAAAAAACATTTTAATCGACAGCCTTTTATTTCAAAAAGATCTTATATCTAGTATTACAAGATGATGATGCTCAACTCTTCAAGATGTTTCCAAAGTAGATCAATCTGCAAACATTTAAATAAAATAATACAAGATTCACAAACGTGATATGAGCCGAATCAAGTCGAAAAGCACTGTCAACAAAAAATACTATCAACCTTCGTACACTCGCTTCACACAGTCGACCAACATAGAAAAATCTCAGCAGTACTTTTTCAACTAAAAAAAAAAAAAAAAAACATAAACGCAAGCCAGAGAATTAAGAAAACATCTGGCAAATAATTAACGGAGCCTTCTTGAAAAAAACTAATAAACAAAGATGTCATTGCAGAGTTTCTTGATTTCTTTTAAAAATTGATATACAAAATCAACTTGTTCAAAAGCTGTTAGCTTTTAAAAACAACAAAATCAACTTTATTCCTTAAACATGGAAAGTTTAGGCTGAACAACACACAATTTAAGTAGTGTTTTCTCATGAACTACAACTTAGATATTGATCTTAACATTTAGAGATAAGCCTTTTTTCATACACATGTATGTACAAAATCAAGTGTCAGTAAATTCCGACAGCCATTCAACATAGAATGACCCTGTTTCTAACTTATACTTGAAAAAAGATGTGCATACAATGTCTGAGTCAGAACAAACAAAAACATGCTGAAAAAATTTCAAGTCAGCCGCTAGGATTGATTTTATTTTCTTAGTACTGTTATTTATATTAACTCAGACAAATATTCATGTATTGTTTTACCTTTATATACATAACATTCCTGTGTTTGTGTAAAGCATTCTTCACCCAAATATCTTGTTCTGTTACTATAGCCATATCCACTGGATGTATTGCAGCTTGACCAGTTGCTCCATTGTAACAAAGAACCTACAGTAATATATTAAACTTGATCATTTCAGTAAATAACTACTAACTTAGAATAGAAATAAAGTTCACGTTAAAACTAACAAACACTGATAAACAGAGTTAACACCTGTTAATACAGGTATTACCTAAAACAAATGCTCAGTAATAGAAGTAGCTTACTTAATGCATACTGATGAAGTGGCAATTACTTTTTTTTCTTTATAATACTGTTTTTATATCCTCCCGTTAAACAAAGAATTTTTGTCTCTTATTTTAAAAAAAACAATCGTATATAATTGAATATTTAAGAGATATCTCAAAAGATATCTCTTAAACATTCTATTGTATTTTGATTTTTAAAAGATATTTCTCGATTATTACAAACACACCAACATAGTCATTACACGCAAATGAAACATTTCTTTGCGATCTTTACAATGTCAAAAATAAAAAAGTAAAAGAGAAGGCAAAACTATTAAATTAAGTCAATTAAGTTGTCTCCAAACAAAAATCAATTTACAGTCTACAAAAAAAACATACAAACCTGAAATTAAATTACTAGCCTACACAGTATATGCATTCAAAAGAAGTAAATAAGAACATTACTTGATAAAACCACTTGATTGTTGGCAACAAAAACATTTTTTATTGAGCCATTTTGAGAAACGTTCCATGGATTTGAAGCGTATAATACAACATTTTTAAAACTTCGAACTTGTGTGTTGATTTTAGATGCAACAATTGTGTCGTTTACTTTGATTTGATATGCATAACTTCCGTTTACCAAAATTTGACTGATCTCAATTTTTGACCATTCATTTAGTGAAAGTGTCAAACTGGTGTTAAACGTGAAATCAGCGCCATCAATCATAGCTGTAACTTGAAGAACTCCACGACTGTCAAGCCATACTCCTGGATAACCAGTACCATTAGAATCATTAATGAAATGAATAATACTACTTAAGTCACTACTCAATGAATACGGAATGAAATCAAATGAAATTAAAAACTCTTTATCCAGTATTGGCATTGCAGTGATATTTCTTGTTTTCTCTAAAGCAGTTGGGATGTCCTCTATTACATAGTTAATCTTCTGACACGCATCTAAAAAAGATTTATATCAGTTAATACACGCATACACATTTACATCTTTAAGGTATAAAGCTTGAACAACAGCTGCGTACCAACTAAGTCTTTTTTTTTTTTGTTAACATTTTAATCTGGTTTCTACAGATCGTCCTAACACGTTAAGCAAAATATTACAAACAAACAAACAAAAAAAAGTAGCAAACAGTTCTTGAACCTTCAAAGAAAACATTAAAAATCAAGTACTCTCTAATCTAAAACACAACATTACCAATTATTATCATTATTTTCGAACAAGTTTGCGAGTAGACAATTGTTCGAGGCTATTATTAGGCAATTGTCACAAATGAAAGCTGTCGGCACGGTTATTTTTAGCCACTCGTCAAAGGCTTCTATCAACTTGTAAACTAATACCTGTACTAATAAACACGATTCAAACAACGTTTACCTATTGCGATCATCATTTTTCTAGATTCTTTAAGAGATATTGGTCATTAAGTAGCAAAACAGTTTGTTTACTTCCTAATATTAATATATTAAGTTCTTTGAAAAAACGACCAAACATTATGAGACAGAAAAATGTGAACATAGTAAAAAAAAACATTTTAATCGACAGCCTTTTATTTCAAAAAGATCTTATATCTAGTATTACAAGATGATGATGCTCAACTCTTCAAGATGTTTCCAAAGTAGATCAATCTGCAAACATTTAAATAAAATAATACAAGATTCACAAACGTGATATGAGCCGAATCAAGTCGAAAAGCACTGTCAACAAAAAATACTATCAACCTTCGTACACTCGCTTCACACAGTCGACCAACATAGAAAAATCTCAGCAGTACTTTTTCAACTAAAAAAAAAAAAAAAAAACATAAACGCAAGCCAGAGAATTAAGAAAACATCTGGCAAATAATTAACGGAGCCTTCTTGAAAAAAACTAATAAACAAAGATGTCATTGCAGAGTTTCTTGATTTCTTTTAAAAATTGATATACAAAATCAACTTGTTCAAAAGCTGTTAGCTTTTAAAAACAACAAAATCAACTTTATTCCTTAAACATGGAAAGTTTAGGCTGAACAACACACAATTTAAGTAGTGTTTTCTCATGAACTACAACTTAGATATTGATCTTAACATTTAGAGATAAGCCTTTTTTCATACACATGTATGTACAAAATCAAGTGTCAGTAAATTCCGACAGCCATTCAACATAGAATGACCCTGTTTCTAACTTATACTTGAAAAAAGATGTGCATACAATGTCTGAGTCAGAACAAACAAAAACATGCTGAAAAAATTTCAAGTCAGCCGCTAGGATTGATTTTATTTTCTTAGTACTGTTATTTATATTAACTCAGACAAATATTCATGTATTGTTTTACCTTTATATACATAACATTCCTGTGTTTGTGTAAAGCATTCTTCACCCAAATATCTTGTTCTGTTACTATAGCCATATCCACTGGATGTATTGCAGCTTGACCAGTTGCTCCATTGTAACAAAGAACCTACAGTAATATATTAAACTTGATCATTTCAGTAAATAACTACTAACTTAGAATAGAAATAAAGTTCACGTTAAAACTAACAAACACTGATAAACAGAGTTAACACCTGTTAATACAGGTATTACCTAAAACAAATGCTCAGTAATAGAAGTAGCTTACTTAATGCATACTGATGAAGTGGCAATTACTTTTTTTTCTTTATAATACTGTTTTTATATCCTCCCGTTAAACAAAGAATTTTTGTCTCTTATTTTAAAAAAAACAATCGTATATAATTGAATATTTAAGAGATATCTCAAAAGATATCTCTTAAACATTCTATTGTATTTTGATTTTTAAAAGATATTTCTCGATTATTACAAACACACCAACATAGTCATTACACGCAAATGAAACATTTCTTTGCGATCTTTACAATGTCAAAAATAAAAAAGTAAAAGAGAAGGCAAAACTATTAAATTAAGTCAATTAAGTTGTCTCCAAACAAAAATCAATTTACAGTCTACAAAAAAAACATACAAACCTGAAATTAAATTACTAGCCTACACAGTATATGCATTCAAAAGAAGTAAATAAGAACATTACTTGATAAAACCGCTTGATTGTTGGCAACAAAAACATTTTTTATTGAGCCATTTTGAGAAACGTTCCATGGATTTGAAGCGTATAATACAACATTTTTAAAACTTCGAACTTGTGTGTTGATTTTAGATGCAACAATTGTGTCGTTTACTTTGATTTGATATGCATAACTTCCGTTTACCAAAATTTGACTGATCTCAATTTTTGACCATTCATTTAGTGAAAGTGTCAAACTGGTGTTAAACGTGAAATCAGCGCCATCAATCATAGCTGTAACTTGAAGAACTCCACGACTGTCAAGCCATACTCCTGGATAACCAGTACCATTAGAATCATTAATGAAATGAATAATACTACTTAAGTCACTACTCAATGAATACGGAATGAAATCAAATGAAATTAAAAACTCTTTATCCAGTATTGGCATTGCAGTGATATTTCTTGTTTTCTCTAAAGCAGTTGGGATGTCCTCTATTACATAGTTAATCTTCTGACACGCATCTAAAAAAGATTTATATCAGTTAATACACGCATACACATTTACATCTTTAAGGTATAAAGCTTGAACAACAGCTGCGTACCAACTAAGTCTTTTTTTTTTTTTGTTAACATTTTAATCTGGTTTCTACAGATCGTCCTAACACGTTAAGCAAAATATTACAAACAAACAAACAAAAAAAAGTAGCAAACAGTTCTTGAACCTTCAAAGAAAACATTAAAAATCAAGTACTCTCTAATCTAAAACACAACATTACCAATTATTATCATTATTTTCGAACAAGTTTGCGAGTAGACAATTGTTCGAGGCTATTATTAGGCAATTGTCACAAATGAAAGCTGTCGGCACGGTTATTTTTAGCCACTCGTCAAAGGCTTCTATCAACTTGTAAACTAATACCTGTACTAATAAACACGATTCAAACAACGTTTACCTATTGCGATCATCATTTTTCTAGATTCTTTAAGAGATATTGGTCATTAAGTAGCAAAACAGTTTGTTTACTTCCTAATATTAATATATTAAGTTCTTTGAAAAAACGACCAAACATTATGAGACAGAAAAATGTGAACATAGTAAAAAAAAACATTTCAATCGACAGCCTTTTATTTCAAAAAGATCTTATATCTAGTATTACAAGATGATGATGCTCAACTCTTCAAGATGTTTCCAAAGTAGATCAATCTGCAAACATTTAAATAAAATAATACAAGATTCACAAACGTGATATGAGCCGAATCAAGTCGAAAAGCACTGTCAACAAAAAATACTATCAACCTTCGTACACTCGCTTCACACAGTCGACCAACATAGAAAAATCTCAGCAGTACTTTTTCAACTAAAAAAAAAAAAAAAACATAAACGCAAGCCAGAGAATTAAGAAAACATCTGGCAAAATATTAACGGAGCCTTCTTGAAAAAAACTAATAAACAAAGATGTCATTGCAGAGTTTCTTGATTTCTTTTAAAAATTGATATACAAAATCAACTTGTTCAAAAGCTGTTAGCTTTTAAAAACAACAAAATCAACTTTATTCCTTAAACATGGAAAGTTTAGGCTGAACAACACACAATTTAAGTAGTGTTTTCTCATGAACTACAACTTAGATATTGATCTTAACATTTAGAGATAAGCCTTTTTTCATACACATGTATGTACAAAATCAAGTGTCAGCAAATTCCGACAGCCATTCAACATAGAATGACCCTGTTTCTAACTTATACTTGAAAAAAGATGTGCATACAATGTCTGAGTCAGAACAAACAAAAACATGCTGAAAAAATTTCAAGTCAGCCGCTAGGATTGATTTTATTTTCTTAGTACTGTTATTTATATTAACTCAGACAAATATTCATGTATTGTTTTACCTTTATATACATAACATTCCTGTGTTTGTGTAAAGCATTCTTCACCCAAATATCTTGTTCTGTTACTATAGCCATATCCACTGGATGTATTGCAGCTTGACCAGTTGCTCCATTGTAACAAAGAACCTACAGTAATATATTAAACTTGATCATTTCAGTAAATAACTACTAACTTAGAATAGAAATAAAGTTCACGTTAAAACTAACAAACACTGATAAACAGAGTTAACACCTGTTAATACAGGTATTACCTAAAACAAATGCTCAGTAATAGAAGTAGCTTACTTAATGCATACTGATGAAGTGGCAATTACTTTTTTTTCTTTATAATACTGTTTTTATATCCTCCCGTTAAACAAAGAATTTTTGTCTCTTATTTTAAAAAAAACAATCGTATATAATTGAATATTTAAGAGATATCTCAAAAGATATCTCTTAAACATTCTATTGTATTTTGATTTTTAAAAGATATTTCTCGATTATTACAAACACACCAACATAGTCATTACACGCAAATGAAACATTTCTTTGCGATCTTTACAATGTCAAAAATAAAAAAGTAAAAGAGAAGGCAAAACTATTAAATTAAGTCAATTAAGTTGTCTCCAAACAAAAATCAATTTACAGTCTACAAAAAAAACATACAAACCTGAAATTAAATTACTAGCCTACACAGTATATGCATTCAAAAGAAGTAAATAAGAACATTACTTGATAAAACCACTTGATTGTTGGCAACAAAAACATTTTTTATTGAGCCATTTTGAGAAACGTTCCATGGATTTGAAGCGTATAATACAACATTTTTAAAACTTCGAACTTGTGTGTTGATTTTAGATGCAACAATTGTGTCGTTTACTTTGATTTGATATGCATAACTTCCGTTTACCAAAATTTGACTGATCTCAATTTTTGACCATTCATTTAGTGAAAGTGTCAAACTGGTGTTAAACGTGAAATCAGCGCCATCAATCATAGCTGTAACTTGAAGAACTCCACGACTGTCAAGCCATACTCCTGGATAACCAGTACCATTAGAATCATTAATGAAATGAATAATACTACTTAAGTCACTACTCAATGAATACGGAATGAAATCAAATGAAATTAAAAACTCTTTATCCAGTATTGGCATTGCAGTGATATTTCTTGTTTTCTCTAAAGCAGTTGGGATGTCCTCTATTACATAGTTAATCTTCTGACACGCATCTAAAAAAGATTTATATCAGTTAATACACGCATACACATTTACATCTTTAAGGTATAAAGCTTGAACAACAGCTGCGTACCAACTAAGTCTTTTTTTTTTTTGTTAACATTTTAATCTGGTTTCTACAGATCGTCCTAACACGTTAAGCAAAATATTACAAACAAACAAACAAAAAAAAGTAGCAAACAGTTCTTGAACCTTCAAAGAAAACATTAAAAATCAAGTACTCTCTAATCTAAAACACAACATTACCAATTATTATCATTATTTTCGAACAAGTTTGCGAGTAGACAATTGTTCGAGGCTATTATTAGGCAATTGTCACAAATGAAAGCTGTCGGCACGGTTATTTTTAGCCACTCGTCAAAGGCTTCTATCAACTTGTAAACTAATACCTGTACTAATAAACACGATTCAAACAACGTTTACCTATTGCGATCATCATTTTTCTAGATTCTTTAAGAGATATTGGTCATTAAGTAGCAAAACAGTTTGTTTACTTCCTAATATTAATATATTAAGTTCTTTGAAAAAACGACCAAACATTATGAGACAGAAAAATGTGAACATAGTAAAAAAAAACATTTTAATCGACAGCCTTTTATTTCAAAAAGATCTTATATCTAGTATTACAAGATGATGATGCTCAACTCTTCAAGATGTTTCCAAAGTAGATCAATCTGCAAACATTTAAATAAAATAATACAAGATTCACAAACGTGATATGAGCCGAATCAAGTCGAAAAGCACTGTCAACAAAAAATACTATCAACCTTCGTACACTCGCTTCACACAGTCGACCAACATAGAAAAATCTCAGCAGTACTTTTTCAACTAAAAAAAAAAAAAAAAAACATAAACGCAAGCCAGAGAATTAAGAAAACATCTGGCAAATAATTAACGGAGCCTTCTTGAAAAAAACTAATAAACAAAGATGTCATTGCAGAGTTTCTTGATTTCTTTTAAAAATTGATATACAAAATCAACTTGTTCAAAAGCTGTTAGCTTTTAAAAACAACAAAATCAACTTTATTCCTTAAACATGGAAAGTTTAGGCTGAACAACACACAATTTAAGTAGTGTTTTCTCATGAACTACAACTTAGATATTGATCTTAACATTTAGAGATAAGCCTTTTTTCATACACATGTATGTACAAAATCAAGTGTCAGTAAATTCCGACAGCCATTCAACATAGAATGACCCTGTTTCTAACTTATACTTGAAAAAAGATGTGCATACAATGTCTGAGTCAGAACAAACAAAAACATGCTGAAAAAATTTCAAGTCAGCCGCTAGGATTGATTTTATTTTCTTAGTACTGTTATTTATATTAACTCAGACAAATATTCATGTATTGTTTTACCTTTATATACATAACATTCCTGTGTTTGTGTAAAGCATTCTTCACCCAAATATCTTGTTCTGTTACTATAGCCATATCCACTGGATGTATTGCAGCTTGACCAGTTGCTCCATTGTAACAAAGAACCTACAGTAATATATTAAACTTGATCATTTCAGTAAATAACTACTAACTTAGAATAGAAATAAAGTTCACGTTAAAACTAACAAACACTGATAAACAGAGTTAACACCTGTTAATACAGGTATTACCTAAAACAAATGCTCAGTAATAGAAGTAGCTTACTTAATGCATACTGATGAAGTGGCAATTACTTTTTTTTCTTTATAATACTGTTTTTATATCCTCCCGTTAAACAAAGAATTTTTGTCTCTTATTTTAAAAAAAACAATCGTATATAATTGAATATTTAAGAGATATCTCAAAAGATATCTCTTAAACATTCTATTGTATTTTGATTTTTAAAAGATATTTCTCGATTATTACAAACACACCAACATAGTCATTACACGCAAATGAAACATTTCTTTGCGATCTTTACAATGTCAAAAATAAAAAAGTAAAAGAGAAGGCAAAACTATTAAATTAAGTCAATTAAGTTGTCTCCAAACAAAAATCAATTTACAGTCTACAAAAAAAACATACAAACCTGAAATTAAATTACTAGCCTACACAGTATATGCATTCAAAAGAAGTAAATAAGAACATTACTTGATAAAACCGCTTGATTGTTGGCAACAAAAACATTTTTTATTGAGCCATTTTGAGAAACGTTCCATGGATTTGAAGCGTATAATACAACATTTTTAAAACTTCGAACTTGTGTGTTGATTTTAGATGCAACAATTGTGTCGTTTACTTTGATTTGATATGCATAACTTCCGTTTACCAAAATTTGACTGATCTCAATTTTTGACCATTCATTTAGTGAAAGTGTCAAACTGGTGTTAAACGTGAAATCAGCGCCATCAATCATAGCTGTAACTTGAAGAACTCCACGACTGTCAAGCCATACTCCTGGATAACCAGTACCATTAGAATCATTAATGAAATGAATAATACTACTTAAGTCACTACTCAATGAATACGGAATGAAATCAAATGAAATTAAAAACTCTTTATCCAGTATTGGCATTGCAGTGATATTTCTTGTTTTCTCTAAAGCAGTTGGGATGTCCTCTATTACATAGTTAATCTTCTGACACGCATCTAAAAAAGATTTATATCAGTTAATACACGCATACACATTTACATCTTTAAGGTATAAAGCTTGAACAACAGCTGCGTACCAACTAAGTCTTTTTTTTTTTTTGTTAACATTTTAATCTGGTTTCTACAGATCGTCCTAACACGTTAAGCAAAATATTACAAACAAACAAACAAAAAAAAGTAGCAAACAGTTCTTGAACCTTCAAAGAAAACATTAAAAATCAAGTACTCTCTAATCTAAAACACAACATTACCAATTATTATCATTATTTTCGAACAAGTTTGCGAGTAGACAATTGTTCGAGGCTATTATTAGGCAATTGTCACAAATGAAAGCTGTCGGCACGGTTATTTTTAGCCACTCGTCAAAGGCTTCTATCAACTTGTAAACTAATACCTGTACTAATAAACACGATTCAAACAACGTTTACCTATTGCGATCATCATTTTTCTAGATTCTTTAAGAGATATTGGTCATTAAGTAGCAAAACAGTTTGTTTACTTCCTAATATTAATATATTAAGTTCTTTGAAAAAACGACCAAACATTATGAGACAGAAAAATGTGAACATAGTAAAAAAAAACATTTCAATCGACAGCCTTTTATTTCAAAAAGATCTTATATCTAGTATTACAAGATGATGATGCTCAACTCTTCAAGATGTTTCCAAAGTAGATCAATCTGCAAACATTTAAATAAAATAATACAAGATTCACAAACGTGATATGAGCCGAATCAAGTCGAAAAGCACTGTCAACAAAAAATACTATCAACCTTCGTACACTCGCTTCACACAGTCGACCAACATAGAAAAATCTCAGCAGTACTTTTTCAACTAAAAAAAAAAAAAAAACATAAACGCAAGCCAGAGAATTAAGAAAACATCTGGCAAAATATTAACGGAGCCTTCTTGAAAAAAACTAATAAACAAAGATGTCATTGCAGAGTTTCTTGATTTCTTTTAAAAATTGATATACAAAATCAACTTGTTCAAAAGCTGTTAGCTTTTAAAAACAACAAAATCAACTTTATTCCTTAAACATGGAAAGTTTAGGCTGAACAACACACAATTTAAGTAGTGTTTTCTCATGAACTACAACTTAGATATTGATCTTAACATTTAGAGATAAGCCTTTTTTCATACACATGTATGTACAAAATCAAGTGTCAGCAAATTCCGACAGCCATTCAACATAGAATGACCCTGTTTCTAACTTATACTTGAAAAAAGATGTGCATACAATGTCTGAGTCAGAACAAACAAAAACATGCTGAAAAAATTTCAAGTCAGCCGCTAGGATTGATTTTATTTTCTTAGTACTGTTATTTATATTAACTCAGACAAATATTCATGTATTGTTTTACCTTTATATACATAACATTCCTGTGTTTGTGTAAAGCATTCTTCACCCAAATATCTTGTTCTGTTACTATAGCCATATCCACTGGATGTATTGCAGCTTGACCAGTTGCTCCATTGTAACAAAGAACCTACAGTAATATATTAAACTTGATCATTTCAGTAAATAACTACTAACTTAGAATAGAAATAAAGTTCACGTTAAAACTAACAAACACTGATAAACAGAGTTAACACCTGTTAATACAGGTATTACCTAAAACAAATGCTCAGTAATAGAAGTAGCTTACTTAATGCATACTGATGAAGTGGCAATTACTTTTTTTTCTTTATAATACTGTTTTTATATCCTCCCGTTAAACAAAGAATTTTTGTCTCTTATTTTAAAAAAAACAATCGTATATAATTGAATATTTAAGAGATATCTCAAAAGATATCTCTTAAACATTCTATTGTATTTTGATTTTTAAAAGATATTTCTCGATTATTACAAACACACCAACATAGTCATTACACGCAAATGAAACATTTCTTTGCGATCTTTACAATGTCAAAAATAAAAAAGTAAAAGAGAAGGCAAAACTATTAAATTAAGTCAATTAAGTTGTCTCCAAACAAAAATCAATTTACAGTCTACAAAAAAAACATACAAACCTGAAATTAAATTACTAGCCTACACAGTATATGCATTCAAAAGAAGTAAATAAGAACATTACTTGATAAAACCGCTTGATTGTTGGCAACAAAAACATTTTTTATTGAGCCATTTTGAGAAACGTTCCATGGATTTGAAGCGTATAATACAACATTTTTAAAACTTCGAACTTGTGTGTTGATTTTAGATGCAACAATTGTGTCGTTTACTTTGATTTGATATGCATAACTTCCGTTTACCAAAATTTGACTGATCTCAATTTTTGACCATTCATTTAGTGAAAGTGTCAAACTGGTGTTAAACGTGAAATCAGCGCCATCAATCATAGCTGTAACTTGAAGAACTCCACGACTGTCAAGCCATACTCCTGGATAACCAGTACCATTAGAATCATTAATGAAATGAATAATACTACTTAAGTCACTACTCAATGAATACGGAATGAAATCAAATGAAATTAAAAACTCTTTATCCAGTATTGGCATTGCAGTGATATTTCTTGTTTTCTCTAAAGCAGTTGGGATGTCCTCTATTACATAGTTAATCTTCTGACACGCATCTAAAAAAGATTTATATCAGTTAATACACGCATACACATTTACATCTTTAAGGTATAAAGCTTGAACAACAGCTGCGTACCAACTAAGTCTTTTTTTTTTTTGTTAACATTTTAATCTGGTTTCTACAGATTGTTCTAATATGTTAAACTATTGCATTAAAAGATTGAAATTTTAAGCCAGTTTTAATTTTTTGTCATAGTCAAATAAAGTTGCGTAGGAAGGTTGCAAAAGGGGGGGGGGAGGTAAAAACATATATATTTAAAAAGGAAAAAGCTATTCAATTTTGTATGATACAGCAAAGCAGCTACAAATTATCTATTTATTTAATTATTTATCACAAGCAACATGATTAATTATCTTTTGAACATGATTTGTCATTTTTTGCTAGCATACATTAAAAAAAAAGTTAGTGTACGATAGTATCTTAAACTGTTCTATGGATATACTTATCGATGGTGATGTTAATTGTGAATAAATCATAGTAGACTGGTAAATAATAATTCTGCTGATGCTATCATAAAAATTTGTTCAAGACTGTTTAGGGAAAGGGGTGTGCTAATGCAGTGTCTGCTGCCTTCCTTTATCCCAGTATTTTAGTTGGGGTCTATTGCCTCCTTTGCCCTTACTGTTTATATGCCAATGGTTAGATTTACAATTGAAAAAGCACCCATTGTTGCAGTAATCGTTGACTTGAATGTGCATTTAACGATTTATTCAAATTATTTATACATGTTTGTGGGTAATTCCATGTCAATTTAGTCAGCAAATTTTAAAAATGTCACCATATATTCTAGATTTTGCTGATTTCTATACAGTTGAGAATTCTTAGTAAGAAAATTAGTAGTAAAAACAAAAAATCCATGAAAATTTTAGTTTCTAGCTCTAAGAAGATCATGAAATATGATCATTTTACTTTTAACTGATCTTGGCTAGGCCCCTCTTGTCCCCTCAGAAGTGTGACCTTTGTTTAAAGGTTTCAAGTCACATAGCTTTAAAAATATTTGATCTTTTGACTGAAGCTTTTGTCCCTGGCTATTTTCATGGTCGAAGAATCCAATGAAATAATCAGAAATTTAAAAAAATATTTTTAAGTTCTTGTAATTAGCAATTTATATAAATTTAGGCAACATTTTATATACCTGAAAAAAAATTATATTGTAACTACATTTAAACAACATGAGATGATTTAAATATGTGGAACAACGAACTTATCATGAGCTGTTTAATACTGGTCTTGGTAAGTCTATTCCACACCGACCGAAATAACTTCTCTTTGTTTCAATAATTTTTAAAGACATTATTTATGTCTTTAAAAATTATTGAAATAAAGAGAAGTTATTTCGGTTGGTGTGGAATAGATTTACAAGACCAGTATTAAACAGCTCATGATAAGTTCGTTGTTCCACATATTTAAATCATCTCATGTTGTTTAAATGTAGTTACGATAAAATTTTTTTTTTTTTATAGCTTAAAAATGAAAACAATGAGTATAGTTTTTTTTATATTTTTGTATAGTTTTTTTAATATTTTTGTGTTGTTTTTTTTTTATATTTTTGTATAGTTTTTTTTTATATTTTTGTATAGTTTTTTTTATATTTTGTATAGTTATTTTCCTACTTCTTACTCAAATATATTGAGGTAAAGATTTAATATAGAAAAGGTTGGTTTGGAATACATTTGCAAAACCCATATTTTATGGGTCATGACAACAAAAATTAAAATTAAAGCAAGCTAATGATTTGAACTTGCCATGCGGCAACCTTAACTTTTTCAAAACAGTACGGGGGTTAAAAAAGTGTTTTTAATAAGAACATAATTAAAAAACCTAATTTTATATTTAAATGAAACCATTTTATTAAACTAACTACTTTTAGAAATAATTAAAAGTTAAAGTTATTTAATATTGATACAATAAGGAAATTTAGAGTTATACAGCTATTAATCCATGCCCTTGTTAAACATTCACAACTGAGTGTGCAATAACAACATAATTTAAATTACCATCAAAATAGTATTATACTCTATTATTTTTTTGGCTTTATATACTTTTTAGCTGATCCTTTATATAAACTAAGTCCATAAATTACTCAACGCCAAATTTCACAATTGAAAAAAACAAAAATGATCAAAATTTTTCCTTGCAGATACATATCTTAAATAAAAAAATTATAAAGCTCATTAAGTTTAATAAAAATCGCTATCCTAAAGAACTAAAGATCTCTTTTATAGTCTATAGTTTACAATGCTCTAAGATCTTATTTCTGCTATACTGTTATAAAATAATATTGCTATTATAAAATAATAGCAATATTATTTTGCTATTATAAAATAATAATAAACTGCAATCCTGTTATAAAATTTTTGCAATAAATTTTGCTATAAATACAGAAAGAAGGAAAATTTTTCAAAATTTATAAGGGGATGTCTTTAATCATCCAAAACGACACTGGTGACAGCGCACTAAACCATTGAGCTCTAGGTATGCTGAAAGGATGCGCATGTTTACTTTTTTGCTCTGAAAGCAATTTTTTTGAATGAAATATTTTATGTAAAAATATTGAAGTAAACAAATAATAGGTAAAGTTATGATCAGTGTGGAATAGACAAGTAAAGAAATGGTAGGTTTGTTAAAGACACATAAATTATGGGTCCGGAAAGCTAGGATATTTATATAAGGAAAAAGTATTGAAAAGTTCAGTGTGGAATAGACTTACAAAGACCTGTATTTTTACGGGTCGGATCAGCTAGTACTTAATAATGCTTTAATTTATTTAATTTCAATCATTCTAAATAATACAAAAATTGCCTTTCGCGTAAATTACAAAAATTGCCTTTCGCGTAAATAATACAAAAACTTCCTTTCGCGTTTTTCTTTCAATTTCCAAGTTTTTTAAATATATTACAACATTTCTGAGATTTTCTTTCAAATGCAATTCCAAAGAATTCTCTATGATAATAGCTGTTGTAAACAATTTTCCTCAATCAAATAAACCAGCTCTCCATATTTACTCATGTTTTTCACCACTTAAAAACGCTGATAGATCTAAAAGACCTTGTCCTCTTGTTAAACCTTGTTTGTGGCAGTCAACATTATATTCTAGTTCAATAGAATACTTTTCCATACTTAAACTTTTTAATCTATTCAAAAATTCTGATTTTGAAATATTTTAAAAAATAATTTTTTTTAGAAATACCATTTACATTATTTAGTTTATGGAAAACTATTTATACAATTAATTTGTTAGGATGATTATATTACTTCCTTATATATATATATATATATATATATATATGATGAAAGGTAATTAAAACTTATTTTATTCCCCAATCATGTAGTATCATTCATAACATTTATTAATTAGCTAAGTAAATATAAAATTCCTGCAAAGTAACAAAAAACTAATTTATACAACATGAAATCGAAAAAGAAGCAATTAAATAATAATGAGGAAATAAAAGTTACTATTTATAAAAGACAAAAAAAAAATGTTAATGCATTTGGATTACAGTCTAATAAAGTTTTTAAACTTAAAAAAATGTCTTTTACAAATAATATAGCTTTAATAAATAAATTTATTATTTCTAATTAATGCTCTAAGGCCTCCAAAAGCTTGATGGAAAATTTTAACAAAACAATTGTTTTGTAAAAAGTAAAAAGAAAAAAGATTGATCTTAATTTTATTGGCATAAAAAAATTAGGAAAATAATAATTTTTTTTCTAGGAGGACAAAAATAGGATGCATACCCCAGATACCAAAAATTTAGAAATAAAGTATACATTTATCAAAATAATTTTAAAAATAACTTTAAAAATAACTTTTTCATAATTAGGAAAACATTACCTTTTTTTTGTGAGGACAGGGGGGAGAAGTCTACCCCAAGTACTAAAAACTTAGAAATAAAGTATATATTTATCATTGCCCTCAAAATGACTTTAAAAATAACTTTTTATAACATGAAATTAAAATATAGCTAATTTTTTCATAAATAAGTTAACAATAAATTTTATGCTGACTCAGCATTTATATGCTGAGTCAGCATAAATACATTTCTGACTCAGCATTTATATGCTGAGTCAGAAATGTATTTATGCTGACTCAGCATAAATACTTTTCTAAATACAGCCTTTACTTAAAAGGCTGTATTTGAAAAAGTCAAAAAATGCAATAATATATTTTTAATTAATAGCAATGTTTGCTACCTATATTGTAAGTTTTTGTAATGCCTGAAAAAAAAATATCAAGTTGACATCACCATTTTGACCGTCAAAATACCCAAAAATAAATGCCACTATTATTTAATTTACATATACTTAAAGTGGTCTAAAAAAACTTTTAATTTGATATTTTTATCCGCCATATGAAAGATTGTCTGTCAAATTTTAGAATGATACCTCAATTCATCCATATGAAAAAAAGTCATTTTGCAAATAATGCTGAGACATATCTCAAGAACCGTAAGGATAATTGTGTGCTTATATAAATAACCTATAAGGTTGTGTTTGCAACATTTCTACAAACCACACGAGTTTACATTCACTTTCATCTTTAAGAACCTAAATATTACTGATTAACATAGGAGCCATAAAAAAAAGTGTTAAAGAAAGGAAGTTTCTCACCTTTATATATGTAGCATTCGTTTAGATCAGGTAAAACTTTAGTTAAAATCCACGTTGTGTTTTCTAACTCATAAAAGTTTCTTGTTCTGTTCATAAACCCATATCCATTAGAAGTATTGCAGCTTGACCAGTCATTCCATTGATCAAGCAATGAAGCTAAAAAAAATAAACTTTAATAAAAAAAATTTTTCTAACAAGTTTACTTTTAAAAAGAATGCAAGCAAATGCTATATAAGTTGGGAACTAGTAGATTCTAAAGAAAAAAGTTAAAAAGCAGGAAAAAAAGGAATTTTTTTCCTATTACATTCTAATCTTTGTATCACAAAAAAATTGTTTTTTTTTTAAACATCTTCGCTTTTAACAAGGCTGCAAGCAACCACTAAATAGGGTTGAAAGTTACTGGAAGAGAAAAGATGAAAATTGAAGAGCAAGATAACGATTGACAGAGAAATTAAAAGATTGCATATGAATCAGGAAAGCATGATGAAGGAAGCAAATTCCAAAGAACTGATGTTCGAGGAAAAAAACTAGACGAATAAGAGTTTTTGGAGTACATAAAAACAGTAACAGAAAACAGATGAGATTTAATTGAATGACAAGTAACACGAGAATGAATTTTAGTAGGTGGCACAAGTGACGCTAGCTCTTTAGAGCAGTGCCCATTATATTATTTGTTGAAAAGAGAAAGAGAAGCAACATTACAACAATGTGACAAAAGTTGAAGGTTGGCTGCAAGAGCAGGTCCAACTATGTTTACAATTCGTTTTTGCACCTTGTCTAAAAGAGAAAGGGCATCATTAGAAGACCCGTCCCAGATATGGCAACAGTATTCCATTCAAGGTCGGATTTGAGATTTATAAAGATAGAGAATAGAATCCAGAGTAAGAAAGTGTTGAGCTCGATAAAGAGATGCAACCTTAGCAGATTCTAATTTTGCAACTGATTTGGTTTCCAAGAAAGATCGAAAGTAAGAGCTATTACTAGAAGATGAAGGGTAGGAGACTCATCGAGTCATTACTGTTCAAAAATATAGGAAAGTCTAAACTATTGCAATAACGATTGGCTGAAAAAAGTTGAGTTTTATCTGAATTAAAGTTCACCAGCCACTGTGACCCCCATGCTGTAGCAGAAGTGAGATCCTTTTCATACTCAAATGACCCCTCCAAGCAATCAGAAAGAGTTGGCTTCTTATCATGACAAGAACAAATGGTAGTAACATCAGCGAACAATGCCATCTTAGATGTGAAAATAACTGGAAGATCATTAATGTAAATTAAAAAGAGTATAGGGCCAAGGATTGAAACTTGATTTATAGTATTTGTAGAAAAAAAAAAAAGAAATGGAACCTTACAACAATTGGAGAGTGGCTCAAGCTTGACAGATAAAGCAGGTCTAATTATATTTACAATGTGCTTTTAGACTTTGACTGAGAGTAAAAGGGTTATTACTCAACAATATAGGATACTATATTCTGCCAACATTATTACAATATTTGTTTGCAATAATTAAGTTATGTTGTCAAAAAAAATTGTGGATTTTAAGTCTAGAATTTAAATCCATAAGCCACTGCAAGTGTTAGGCTGTTACAGAAGAGAGATCTGTTTGGAAATCGGCTGCTTGTCCTAAGCAATCAAAAAGTGAAGATTTTTTGTCAAGACAAGTGTATAAAGTTGAGCCGTTAGCAAATAGAACCACTTTAGATACAAATTTTCATGAAGACTGATATTGTAGATAAGAAACAATACATACAAGATAGAACCTCATGGTATCCTTAAAGTTACTTAAAATAAAGAAGAGTGTAGGCCTTCAAGAATAATTTGAATACTGCAGTTAGAAAAAAAATTAATAATCTTAAAATCTTAATATAAATAACTTTATATAACCTTAGTATAAATAATATAACTTTATATAAAGAAACTAATAATGTAATGAAAACTAATCGTAGGATAAATGTTTATGCAGCCATAGTCACAAACTCAGCTCCTGCCCTGGCCCCAGCTATATTTTATGAATCCCTGCCCTGGCCCCAGTCAAATACTGACCCCAGTTGCTTACTATGCAAGGGTTATTCGTTACAATTATAGACAAAATAGTGAAATTAAAAGTTTTTGTTTTAACAGAAGTATTAGTAGCGTATTATCATTTAATAAGCTTATAATTTAATAAATATGTATGATGTGTACTTTTCTTCTAATTCGACTCTTGAATCTTATGGCTCTCTTCCTTTCACTCCAATTAAACAGATTAACCAATTGTTAGATATTCATATCATTCTGCTTCAGTTATTAAAGTCATATCTTAATTAAACTCTTCTACAACTTGTGGTCTAAACAACACTTTTGTTATATTCTTACAAAAATGTTTCTTCCTAACCGCTTTATTAACATCATCCTCATAGGGCAACACTCTTCTTCATTCCCAGTAATTTTTAGGGTACCTCAAGGTTTAATTCTTGGTCCTGTTTAGTTTCTTTTCTACATTATTGATCTTCCTAACAAACTTACACCTAGACAGCCAGTCTATTTGCTGATGACTCAACTTTATACTCCTGTCTTAACAAAAAACAGGCAATCTTGAATTATTCCTCAATTTAGATTCACTTCTAATATATATATATATATATATATATATATATATATATATATATATATATATATATATATATATATATATATATATATATATATATATATATATATATATATATATATATATATATATATATCTATATCTATATCTATATCTATATATATATCTATATATATATATATATATATATATATATATATATATATATATATATATATATATATATATATATATATATATATATATATATATATATATAAATATATATATATATATATATATATATATATATATATATATACATAGAAATATATATATATATACATATATACATATATATATACATATATACATATATATATACATATATATATATATACACACATATATATATATACATATATATATTTATATATATATATATATATATATATATATATATATATATATATATATATATATATATATATTATTATTATTATTATTATTATTATTATTATTATTATTATTATTATTATTATTATTATTATTATTATTATTATTATTACTATTATTATTATTATTATGAATTAAAAATTAAACATTGTAAATGGTTTGATAAAAAATTTTTGCTTTTCAAAAAACTTGCACACTTTAAAACAGAAATTACCTTTAAATTTGAGAAAATAGTTCAAATTTTTTTAATGTAAATAATGTAAATCTGTTCATTCCATTTTGCATGATAGCATTTTTAATTATAGTTTAATCTCACATATATCGTCCTGATGATGTTGATTTAGCTTTGTTTTTTTAGCAATCAAATCTTTAATTATCTGCATAGCTAATTTTGTATCAATACAACATAGTAGATATTTTTCATTTAACATAACAGAGAAATTAAAATAAGAGACAGAAATTAAAAGAAGAGACAGCAAGCGCAAGGCTTCACACTGTGGATAATGAGGATGCTGATAGATATGTTTAGCGATACCAAAGTTTGTTCCTCTAACGCAACAATTTGCTATACCTCTTGCAAATTACATAAACTGTGGATTGTATAGACAGTCTAGACCTTTATTTGAAAGATAAAGTTGTTAAATGGTCAGTTCATGTAACACGTAGAAATAGAGTTAGAAATTATAATGGCAGAGTAGAAAAATTTAGCAGCAGAAAAATGACTTAGTTTACACTATTTCTTACAGGAAAGATGATGAAACAGATATGGAAACAATCCACCATTGGTTGAAAAAGATCCAGCTTGTTACAGATGTTATTTCAGGAGTGTTACAATTTTATTAATTTTATATTATATTATTAAAACACTGTGAAAATATAAATTTGAAATTTAAAAGCTTAACTAAAGTACTGCAAGTGTTATGACTTGCTGAAAATTTCTAAACAAAAGCACTGCAAGTATTGTGACTTGCTAAACAAAAGTACTACAAGTGTTGTGTCTTGCTAAAAAACAGTACTGCATGTGCTGTGACATGCTAAAAATAAATACTGCAAGTGTTGTGACTTGCTAAACAAAAGTACTGCAAGTGTTGTGACTTGCTAAGAAAAAGTACTGCATGTGCTTGTGACTTGCTATGCATTTTTGATAGACGGTTCTGGCTTACCTTTACGTGGTGTCTATTGTTAAAAATGATTATAAAATAATTTCATTTTTAGAATTTATTATTGTAATCATTCACTAAAAACAAATGCTTTATTTCATAAAGTCAAAATTTTAAGAAATAAAGCATCATTAAAATAATCAAACATTTTTTAGTGTTCATAACATTTTATTTGTTTTTTAGTTTGAAACAGCCGAACCTTTTTTTAACTAAGCTACTATCAAGCACTATATAAAAGATTGGAAGATTTATAAAGGTTGGTTAATACCTTGTTTTGATTACCTTTTTGCCACTATTTACTGATAATAGAAGTCACTCAGTAATAGAAGAATATATTAACATATATATATATAACACCCCTCTTATTTGACAATTGATGCAACACTAATGTAACTTTTGACCAAGTAAGATATATTTTTAACTTCTTTGTTGTTGTACTTTAAATAAAAAATCAGATATTTCATAATTAAATTTTTTTTTATATTAGGGTGTGTCAAAACATCAACACATTTAACATTAGTTTTACATTTACCTTTAATGTTTTGTAGTTGTCCGGTATTAATTTATAAAACCTTTTTTATATAGAAAAAAACTTTATGTTAAGACTTTATGAAAGTAGTTGTGTTATTAAGACTTTATGAAAGTAGTTGTGTTATTTTAATTTTTTTTTTTTTAAGGTTAGGGGGGAAGGGGTTAGATGACCCTCACATACATCAACGCCACTTGTGTATGTAAATTCTTAAAAAAGATAACTTTATTATATATACTATTGAATTGATTGTAGTAAAGATAAAACTATTTATGAAAACAAGCCATACTTGATACTAAGGTGTATCAAACCTCTATTGTTAACATACGCCTCTTATACCAACAGTGGTTTAATATAATTTTATAACAACTTCTTTTGTATATTTAAATTACTTGTCTTGAAAAAAACTTTTTTTCTGAAAAAAATGTTCAGGTTTATACGGGTATGGTGGTGGTTTGGTGCCCCCTCTGTCCATCTGATATGCCCGGTGGTTAGAGTTTAACAAAAACTTGTAGCCCACTCTTACACTTATCTTTTGATACCAAGATATTTGTATTTTGTTAAGAATTAAGAAAGTTATAACAATTTAAGGAAAAACATAATTTCGACCACCATTGCTTCTTCCACAATTCCATATACCGAAAAATCAGTACTTAAACCAATTGTTCGATTTTTAAAAATTTTTTAGCTATAAATTACTGTATTGATCCTCTTTCCAATGATATATAACAGTAGAATATTTAAACAATTTGAAATTTTTACTCATGTAACTTAATATACTAATTGCACTTTTATTCTTTTCACATTTTAAAAAATTTTACTCATAGTTTTGATAAAACTAAAAGTTTATGTTTTTGGAAACTAACCTAATATTTTGTCACTTCATCGTGAAAATACATTTTTATAATGCACTAGTGTTATACCCTTATTCAATATAGCTTTTTAACATTTTGCTTAGCAATTTTTACAAATAATTATATATAAATAACATCTATAAAACAAGGTTGATATGATGCGTTAATAACATTTTAGACTTCAAATGATGTGTTTAAATTAACTTCCCAAGGTAGCATGTCCACACGATTTTTTTATAATTTAATTTTTGTAACCTTGAGCCGAGGCTAGAAAAATAGACTAAAATATATATACAATTGATTGTCATGACTAATCATAAGAAATCAATTATTTATTAACAGAATCATTGTTCTTACTATTTTTAAGGTCATCAATAATACTTTTAAATTGGGGATGTGTCAATCGGCGACCTCAAGAAGTCATAGTTTATCTGGTTTTTAAATGCTCGCAAAGTTAAAAATAAAACCATGTGTTATTTCTGCTTTTACGGACTGCTACGGACTGCTAAGGACTCTTGATTTGAAACTAAAAGTCAGAACAGTTTATCTTGAAAATGTTAGCAAAGTTGATAAAACCATGTGTTGATTTTCCGGACTTGATTTGACTATTGATTTGAAACAGTAATGCGACTTAAAGTTTTTGTGTTTTTGAGTAAAATATATTGGCATATTTAAGTGTTATAGTAAGTAATATATAATATTTAAGTAATACATCTTACTAAATTTTAAGTAAAATATATTGGTATATCTAAAAGATCCAAAAGACGTACTTCGTACCAATGCTCCTAATATAGCAAAGTATATGGTTAACTAGTGAAAGTAGCAGAGCCGACGACACAGGTTTCAACGTAGGGGAGGGGGGTAGAGGAGCACAATCGTCAGTTTTTTAAAAAAGTCTTCTATATCTAGTATTTTCTTATTTTTTTTAAAAAAAAGTCCTATAGAAAATAAGTAGGGGGGGAGTGCACTCTGCCCGCCTCCCCCCGATGTCGTCGGCTCTTAGTAGAAGTAGTAGAAGTAGTAGTAGAAAAATGCTGCAACAGGTTTCCTTGTGTAACCTAAAGTTTTTAGCAGCCTTAATACTCCATACTCTAGTTTTATTCATATCAATATATAAAAATTTATAATAAGACATATAGTATGAAGCGTAATTTTGTACTTTATTGTTTTTTCATTTCCATATATATATATATATATATATATATATATATATATATATATATATATATATATATATATATATATATATATATATATATATATATATATATATATATATATATATATATATATATATATATATATATATATACTAGGTTGGTTGAAAAGTTCGCGGAGCGGAAATGAAAAAACAATTTTATGATTCAAAAAATGACTTTATTCTTCAGTATATTTTCCCTTAAGAGCAATATACTTTTTCCAACGATTCTCCAATTCATGTATCCCATCTCTGAAGTGCGATTCCGGAAAGCCTTCAAAATACCCATTTACGGCTGCAATGACTTCTTCATGTGATGAGAAACGCTTTCCACGTAGAAATTTTTTGAGATGTGGAAAGAGGTGGAAGTCGGACGGAGCCAGATCTGGTGAATAGGGTGGATGTTCCAAGCGTTCGTACTTTAATTCGACCAATTTCGCCTTTGCAACATCGCTGATATGAGCAGGTGCGTTGTCCTGGTGATAAATGATTTTTTTATGCAGCAAACCAGGTCTTTTCTCACGAATTTTTTTATCCAACTGGTCCAAAAGATTTTTATAATATTCACCTGTTATCGTTTTACCGGTTTGAAGGTAATCTATTAATAAAATTCCTTTCGCATCCCAAAAAACTGATGCCATAACCTTCTTTGACGATTTTGACGCCTTCACTTGCTTCGGAGCTGAACAACCGGGTTCTGTCCACTCTGCAGTTTGTTGTCGCAGCTTCGGATCATAGTGGTAAACCCAAGTCTCATCCATGGTTACGAATCGACGCACAAAATCTGTTTTATTCTTATGAAAACGGGCCAAATGTTCTTGAGAAAGTTTTACTCGAGTGCGTTTCTGATCCAGAGTTAGCGAATGCGGCACCCATCTTGCCAACAGCTTTCTCAGACGTAATTCATCGTGCAAGATGTGTAATACCCGTTCATCTGAGATGCCCACAGCCTCAGCAATTTCACGTTTGGTCAATCGTCTATCATCCATAACCATGTCATGCACAGCATTAATCGTTTCTTCAGTAGTAGCACTTTTTGGACGTCCAGAGCGAGGGTCATCTTCAAGGCTTGAACGCCCACGTTGAAACTCCGCAGCCCATTTGCATACTGTTGTTTTTGAAGGAGCATCATCACCCAACACATTTACCATTTCATTATGAATTTCCATGGGCTTTAAACCTTTTTTCACAAAGAATTTTATTACAGCACGATGTTCAATATTTACCATTTTAAAAAATACTATGACACGTCTAATTTCAATAGCTTGTAAACAAAGACTGAAATGACATATCGACTTGAAATTTTTTATGCGTTCATACGAAGAATGAATACGTTTAATACAGTTATAAATTTGTTTCTACTACTGCAACATAGGTGCCGCTCCGCGAACTTTTCAACCAACCTAGTATATATATATATATATATATATATATATATATATACATATATATATATATATATATATATATATATATATATATATATATATATATATATATATATATATATATATATATATATATATATATATATATATATATATATATATATATATATATATATATAGGGTAAAGTAGGGTAATTTCGGCGTATTAAGCTATTTTGCTGTTTATAGACAACGGTTGCTTTAATAATGTTAAAAAATCATGCATATTGATGCACTGCAGATATATCTATTAAATAATAGTTAAAAAATTGTTTCCAACTTACAAAGTTTTACGTAAAACCTGTTTTACAAAATACTCAAAAATGACGAAATTAGCGACCTAGTATGGTATTTTCGGCACTATGGTACGGTAAATTCGGCATAGTTATGAAAATTAAGAAGTTTGTTGAAAACGCATTGATATATTTAAAATATTATAAACAGCTATAAATCTGGATTGTATAAAGAATTGTCTCTTAAATAGAATTTGTTACACCTAATTGGCACTTATTTAAGGGCGTTTCAGTTGCAAAAAATAATAATTTTTGAACCACCTATTTATTTTATTAAAGTATAAATGTCATGTATTTTTAAAGTATGAATGTCACCTTTTTTATTAAAGTATGAATGTCACCCAAAACAGAAACCTTATTAAATATAAATGTGCTTCCAAAGTATAATTGTTAATGAAACGATTACTAATTTCTACGATTTCGATGATTATTTCTAAATTCTGTTTAAATAAGAATTTATGTTTATAAGCTCATAAGTAGTTCATAAAATAATATTTTACATAACATCAATAGTTAAACTTAAAAAAATGAAAAACAAAACTCAAAGGAAACTTTTTAACAAGAGATTTATTTAAGAAAATTAAAACACATTTTATCAATATATGACATATAACTCTTTTTTTAAGAATCAGTGCTTTATACAGTCATCACAAGTAAATACTTTTTTAGTATAAACACCACATATAGCAGCACATGTTTCATGCCACCATCTACAGTATTTAAGGCATTTATCCCAATTATCTTTTAAATAAGGATCGACAGGATCACCATAACTGTATTGACACTTTGCACAAAGTTGTTTATTAATCGCACCTTTAGCATCAAGGTTTTTCTAACACGTCTTTTGATGAGTAGATATACTTTTTTTAATGCACTTTTTACGTGGCTGTCTGTTCTTATATTTCAAGTTTAAAGATTCCTCTAGCTGAGATTTATATGGTGATCCAGTAATTTTTTCAGCATGATTTACCCTCCTTTTTATACCTGTTCGCTTTGCATTTTTAATGTCAAGTCCAGCTAGTGATCCAAATGTAACACCATAAGCTTGTGAGGTTTCATCGTGTGAGGTGGCTAATTCTGATGACTTCTGAAGTGTAAATGATGAATTTGGTGAAATAGATTCTAAATAAAAATTATTTAACTAAAGAGGGTGAATAAAAATAGGCAACATGCAAATTATAAAAAATAGTTAAAATGTTTTTAAAAAATTTGAACTTTCTTTAAGAAACCTTTTTTTAGGTTAATAAAACAACAGATAAGTTAATATTTTGCTTGATTTTAAAAAAGTCATATTTGTATTTTAAATAAAATGCGGAAGATGTTAAAAATAATACAACATTTATGACGATTTACCTTTTTGAGTGTCAATAACACAATCTGTAACAAAATCAATATTATCTAATTCTTTAGCAGAGTCTAACCCATTGTTGAGAGTAGGGTGCATTTCAGAGGTATTATTTGGTTTTGAAATTTTTGATACAACATACGAGTGATCAGTAGCCTTGGCTGCAGCAAAGTCTTCTTCAGTAAACACATTTCTATCAAATGGATATATTCCACATTTTTTGAACCCTGACTGACAATTTTGAACAGTTGCAGCTTTCCCATAGGCTTTTCCAAATAATTCACCAACCTCTAGTTCAGTTACGGGACGACCAGGATGGTGACGAAGCCAAGTTCTAACCTCCTGATCATAGAATATTTTGAGGCTTTTAAAAAACGAAACATCAAGTGGTTGCAGTTTGTGGGTGCAGTGGGATGGAAGTGATAAAATAATAACATTTGAGTGGCGCGCTTTTTTAATAACACTAAGATTTTTTTTATGACTTGAATGTCCATCTAAAATTAGAAGAACTGGTTGGTTTCTTGACTGAGGCTGGACTGCTTGTAAAAAATGATCAAACCATATTTCAAACAACTCAGTTGTTATCCAGCCATTTTTGCTGCCACCAGAAATAGAACCTATTGAGGCTTTATCTAAAAATTCAGGTTTCACTCGAATACGTGGATAGATCAACATCGGAGGGATAAAAAACCCGCTTGTTGATTGGCAACAAACTATTGTGATTGTTTTACCTCTTTCGGAGCTTGTTAAGCCACCAACACTGTGTTTTCCCTTAAGAGCAACAATTTTTCCTGGTTTATGGCAAATAGACAATCCAGATTCATCTACGTTGAATAAGTTTGATGGTGGAATAATCTGCATCCCATTAGCATTAAACATTATTTTTTCTAGTTCATCGTAAAAACGATTAACTTTTATTCTATTAAAACCAATGGCTCGATGCAATGACGTTGACTCAGCAACTCTGACAGAGAGTTCATTATGGCGTTTCAAAAAACCCCTAAACCATTCTTTTCCTGCTGACTTAGTTTCACTATTAAATTTGTGAATAATTCTATTTTCTTCACAAAACTGAAATACCATTTGTTTTACATCTTTTGGAGACAAACCAAACAATCTCTGTGACATGGTCAGAAGAACTTCTACGAGCTCTTTTTCTTGAAAAGCTGAGAGTGTTGTTGGGTGTCCTGCACGTAACTTTTTAACAAAATTATCAACAGGTGCTCGTTTTATATAG